TTAATGACCTCAGAAATACTAAAATAACAATTTAAAGAGACACATTTTGAAAAAGCCAATGATACACTAAACCTTTTTCGTTAAAATATAAATACTATAGGTTTGATAGAGGCAGGTCGATAATTTAAAAAACATTAAATGAATGTTTTTTTTTTAATCATTGGCGTAATAACTTCTAGATTTCTTTTATAAAAATTTTCAATGACTTGCAACTGCTACCAACCAAACTTTGCAGGATCCAGGTCAAAAACTGCATAATTTTGGTTGATTGAATAACGAAATAAGGTGGTTTGTAGTCAAAACCTGACCTGCCTAAAGCGGTATTCTCTCTCTCGCTCTAGCGCACGTAGAACCATTGATACAAACATGCTGTCTATCCCCCTCTTACATTGAATCACTGTCGACCTCTGACTTTGCAACTGGTTTCGTATGATCCGCGAGTATTGTGAATTTTGATGTAATATTACAATCATTTAACTCGTACGTTTTTTAAAGTGACATCAAATGGGAAACGCGTTCACCTAATAGTCTTAGGATCGTTTGAAAATAATAATACACGTTAAACTAAATAAAAGACATAATACTTTTAAAGACATACCTATGGTGGATCTCATAAAATCGCAAAAGAAATTTTTAATTTTTGAACAATTCAATAATTGACAGAGTCAGTGTAATTTACACATGTTGTTCCAGCGGCATGTTTAGAATATTTCAGTGATGTATAATTTGCCTAAAATAAGACCAAATACATGGAACATACATAGTGCATGGGTGCACCTGGTTCAATGATTAAACCTGGATGTAGCAAAGGTTTTCCTCCAATTGAGTGCTACACATTTCATGTGATTTGTAACAGAATTTTATCAGTATTCTTGAAAATCTTTTAAGCTTCTAACTCCCTAAATTTCACTTAATTCTGGATATTCATTTAAGATAACTGCGTAAAATTACTCTTTTAAAATCCTATGTAAAAAATATTTGTTTTCAATTCATCAATATCGACCAAATTTTTTTTATCTCGCACTACATAAATAACACATAATAACTAAATACCTGTGATAAAATGTTGAAATATTTAACTCAATCTATCCCATAGTTTCTATTCTATCGTATAGAGACGCGAATCCATACTGCAAATATACAAACTAGTAATCTTCCCTTCTTAAGTGATATCTCCAAAACAAGTGAGGTTTTGGTTTTGGACCGCCCCGGGATTGATGGTAAAAACATCATCAGGCAATGATAAGGAGGTTCGCAACTCAGTGATAAGACAACAGCTGAATTCACACGTTCAACCGGGCACAGCTGACTAACTACGTCTTTAGTTTGAATATAGATATCCCATTCATCTGTTAAAGTTGTGCGCAGTTTTAGGACAAAATGAACGTTGTTAGATTCAGGCAACGGTAGAGTCTATTACTGATTTCAGTCAAATACACCAAAGTTATATACACCAAATCCAACAGATAGAATAACTTATTGTATTTTAATCATCTTTTACGTTACATTAACGATTACGGATCGCCAATTTTTATAAAATTCTTTTGCAATTTTTATAAAATTGTTCTTTTTATGTATAAAAAAACTCTATCGTATTAACGAAAAGTATTGGTATTTTAGACCGTAGTGGTTCTGTGAGTAACTCAATCAAATGCTATCTTCTTATAATAAAAGATTGGTTTTGCATATTCCATGTAGAAGTATGTCTACTTCAATTTACAGTTCTCAATTAAGCAATGTTTCTAAGCCCTACTCAAGTTAAAATTTGTTAACAACAATGCATGTTCTAGCTAAATCTTTAGAATGTACACTTATATTAAAAACACTTATGTGGACTACAACACAAAAAACATTAATTTTAATAACCTATTTGAAATTTTGAAAAAGATAAACCACCGTTAGATGAAACTTTCACTCCAACTTTTGAAATGGTTTTCTACCAAATTATGATAATAATCTTCATTCGATTAGGTCATAGACTATGGGGATAGCTAACCATTTAATTTGTTATACAATAACATATTGATAGTTTCAACCTGAAAGTGATTTTTTTTAAATTATAGAATTACTCTATCCACATAATTCAATATGTAGTTAATGCAGTATATTTTTAAGTTTTTCGGGAAATCTTCAAAATATCAATTTAACTTATTTTATTTGCCAAAGATAAATTTTGTAAATTGGTTTGTATGAATTGGTAAATTGGTAGCTTTTAAAACTCATCTCTTAGAGACATATTGTAATGAACAAAAATTGGCTTTGACCATATTTGTTAACGCAAGTTTAAAAAAAGATTGTAAATACGACTAATGTAAAAGTTCCAGATGTAAAACCTATTCCTAAGAGAGTAATATTGCATGCACTATTCTCAGTACCTTCAATGGTTTTAAGTTTTTAAACCAAATCGACTATTTATAACACAATCAAGTCGCCAATACAGGAAGCTAAATATGTAAATGCTATTTTGAACCACATTAATACGATACGGCACAAACTTGTTTCTTAAATTAGATCCTTGACGGGGCAGGAAGTTGAATTCTGGTTCTGCTACAGTTGAATATGCGCGATCCGTGTCTATCCTGGCTAGACAATCAAACACAGTATTTAGTGAGGATGGAAGTGGCTAGAACAGTTTGTGACGTCATAAAATTAATCACGGCCACCAAGGTGTGTGGTATGCAAAACTTAGTTGAACATGTCACTTAACTCGTAATCCAGAACTAGATTATGTAATTTATTAGTTTGATGTGTGAAGTTAACTTTGAAGTATTGTCTAACTGATTAAAATCTTCTCTTGGAATTAAGCACGTTTTTTACATTGCGATATCTAACGTGTGAACTAAGATCTTTCTAGCGTCGAGTTTAGATAACATCATAGCTTTTTAAAAACTGTAAACAGCTGTTTTCTGCGTAAGGAACATATAGTCTGCAAAAGTAATGTAATAATACCCAGCTAATTATGGATACATTGGTTATATCTAATCGTCATAATGATGATGTCCAAAGAATTTGATGACATAATAATGACAGATTGAAGTAAATAGAGGAACAGGGAAGGTCAAGGTAAAGGGAAGATTTAGGGATTCGCAGGGATATATCGGGATAGGACCCAGAATCAGTTTGTTATTGGTGGTTTCAAATTAATTAATTTTAAAGCTTCATGGAGAGGCTTGATTAAATACGTGCCAGTGGTGTAAATCGTGTGGAAGTAAAATACTCCATTCTGCAGTAAATAAACCTGTTACAACCGTTCATAAACAACTAGGACACCTTAAGTGTTTAATATTTGTAGAGATTGGTCTTGAAAGTATCGAAATGAATAACATTTGCCCTTGAAATAATTGAAAATAAGTGTGTATAATGTTTAGCTACTATACAAAATAATGCACATAATGGTAAAACCGTCATTCAGTAGTTTAATAGTATGCAGGGCCTGTTTTGTAAAAATAATTAATTGTCTGACAGACGATGAAACAGACAATTTCTGCATCATGTAAACACGTTACTCTCGTTGAAGGTTATGGTGTACTCAGTATTACAAAAAAAGCACTAATTTCCCCATTCATTTAGTATCAAAAGTTTACAAGTAGGAACAACTTTTTGGGGTCAAAATTTTAGATTTAGAGATATTCGAAATGACTAAAACTTCTGATTGATCATTATTTAGATTTACAATTATTCTAACAATTGCCCCATACGTGCATAGGTTGTTTACTTTCTCAAAGACACAAAATACTCATAAGTCTAGTGTCTTATGTAAAATAATCAGCCAATAGAAAAATAGTCAAGTTTAAAATCTATTGACAATTTAAGGATTAGATAAAGCCAAGCTACTAATGGGTTATCTGGCTATTTGGCGGAACTTTCACAGAAGCAATGATAAAAATCAAAATCCGATTTCAACGCTAATTAGGGTTTAAGATAACTGATATACTTTGTTTGTATCCTGATTGTTTCATTATCAGTTATTATTTCTAACTAAGCCGATACTTATCATACTCTGATGAGAATCTGGGGAAGTTACGGTTACAAATGTTATGCAAGAGGGGTTTATCTTTTGAACTGATTAATACTAATCTTAGATCGTGTTTTGAACCAGTGGTTCTTGAGTCGAGATACCTACTGATTCAAGGTAAAAACCTTTTAATCTACAAATCAGTACTCGGTGCAAAAGTGTTTCACAAGTGCGTTCATAAACAGGTGTACTCAACATATTTCTATATACTAAAAATATATTTTGGTAGTTGTATAAAAACCAGTAAATCCTCACAAATCTGGACTGACCGGGATCAAATTTGTTCAAATTAAGTTAAATAATCCTAATAAGGTGAAAAACAGTGGTATTCCGGGCTGTTTGGGTTTTGCAAAACCAAGCGTAAAATGTATATTCTGGGTTGAAAAAAAAAAACAAACAGTAAACTTGTGCAGGTGCACTGTGAACTGACATCAAAACTATGTAATTTACAGTAGAATATTACTAGTTTAGTAGCATGTCATTTTGCATAATTTGCTCTCAGAATTAAATATATTCCGTATCAATAGATCTGGCCGGATTAATCCTACTAATATTATAAGTAAGAAAGTTTGGATGTATGGGTGGATGGATGAATGGATTAGTGTGACAAGTAAACGCGAAAAATAATGTCAAAATCTAATTTAAACCAACTATCAACAAAAAGCTGTTAAAAATGAGAATCACCCCTTTTTTATTGTTTAGGTGCAGAGGTAGAACATTATGGCTATGGTAGATGTGCTATACTATAGCATACCGTAAATTAAAAGAACCAAATTTTCTTAAACCGTGTCCTCCCACATTGTAAACGCAAAGCACGAGTATAACTGCAACAAGCATTTTATACTTATACGCCAACCCCGTACGAAGGACGGGAACTCTGCTAGTGGTTCATATGTTCAAAAATATTAACCGTGTTAACCGCGACGTCACTTACTTTATCAAATACCTTTTCGTATAAAAATCTAAAATATGTTCTCTTTTTCAGTAACCAGAATGACGCAGCCATGCCTGATCCACTAGGCGAACACGCTTTTCATCTCGAAACAAGATGGGACTTAACAAGCAGTACTACAAGGTGGTGGGCCAGAATGCCAAGAACCGGTTATTCGGTATCGCACCATCGAATCGGCAACATCGACCATCCGATAGGCCATTGCAGATGCTGGTGTCCGAACAGAACAAGATCAGCCATAGTGAGTACAATTTTATACTATACCGATATATCGATTACTGATCCGATATTGATACATACTTGCACGGGGATTTTTCATATTAATAGGTTTGAAAGTGAAATATTTTATTCGACCTATCGATTGTTTATTGTAGTAGTCGATATAATTGCGTGTTAGAGATTACAAGTCGATTAAATATTGCATTGGTTATCACATTTAGTTGTTTATATTCTGTATGAAGTTTTATGAAACATTAATTTTACCATAGACAAAAAGAATTAAATATGTATAGACCGTCAGCCATGCTGCGGTTACCATAGGTTCTGGCGCACACCGCTGGGAGTGCCATCTTAGTTACGCCGTACGCGATACGTAACTACATTGCGCTCACAGCGGTGTGCGCCAGAACCTATGGTAACCATGGTAACCACAGTATGGCTGACAGTCTATATTTAATTCATTTGTCTATAATTTTACCTACTTAGAAACGTACTAAAAAAAATATGTAATTTAATTTTTTACTTGTACCCAAGTTGTTTATTGGGCCTAAATCTAAACATATTTAATAACCCATTTGTAAAGAATAAATACATTACAACTAACGCAATACATGAATACATCAATAATAAAACCATCCAAATCAATTTATACTTTTGTAAAAAGGCCTATGTTTGAGTTTGGAAGTTTTAATGAACACTAATTATTTCAAGCTAGGTTCGTCTATTTAATTCATTTAAAACTGTCAGCTCTGGTCAGGCTTCACACACACGCAAAAAAGATTATCCCGTAGAAATAAATCTAAATATATAAAAGGCAAAGCCCTCACTGACACACTCACTCACTCACTCATCACTAATTCTCCCACTTCCCATTTACCTAGGAGGCTGAAATTTGGTACACCGATTCTTTAGGCATTAAATAGGAAAACTAAGTTGTTTTTATTCTGATCGGACTCTCGGGCTCCGCCCCAGTGGCTCTGGAGTTTCCCATGTTAACCTTATGATTTTTCATATTTAAAAGGAATTAATGAATCTTATCAGCTGTTTCAATTAAACAAGTTGGTTCTGTTCTATGATGTTCAATAGCTTTAAAGTTACAAGGATTGCCAACAGGGTGCAGCACTATTATTATTTTTTTAATTTATGACAACAGCTAATTTGCAACCAAAAGGTGAGTGAGCGTAGCGAACGAACTTCAACCTGGAGGCGAGTTAGCGTAGCGAACGAGCTAACCTGAAGGCAAGTGAGCGCAGCGAACGAGCTCCAACCTAAAGGTGAGTGAGCATAGCGAACGCACTTCAACCAGGACGTTCGCGTTTGAGTCATGCGAACGAGCTCATCTTGAAAATTAAGAAGTTAAACGGGGCAAAGCCCGCGGGTACAGCTAGTAATTGATACAACAAACAAACCAATACGTAAACACGTCCAAACTGCGTCATTCAATAAAAACCGCTTCTTCGAACCAGCTCGACCCCCATCCCCAATTACTTTATTTTTCACAGAATTTCCTGTATTTAATGTTTATTGTGATCGTTAAGTCTTTGTATCAATCCGGACAAGTATCTTCTCGAATGCAAATGTGAGAAAAAAGTCTACATTAGAGGCATAATACCCGGCCTAACAGGTATATCCAGCAATTAAAGCAACTAGGGGCTCTCTAGAGACTACAATTGGAAGTAGTAAAATTTTATTGCTTAATCGCGAAAATTGCAGTATCCTGTGTTACTCCTATAAGAATTAGAAGAACTCGAGAAAATGCAAGGCCAGATGAGTAAATATGTTATGTAAACAAAATTGTAACAACGCCCCTAATGTAATATCGAAATAATTTGAATGATAAGTGTTGTTGGTAAATACGTTCTTGGGAATGTTTAGGACATCTGATAACAAGCAAATTTTATGTTACAGCACGCACTAGGGTATGATAATAGATGTTTCTTAAAATAATATTATTCGGAATTTAGAAAGTTAATTATTTACCTAATAATTCTAAGTTACAGTCTTTACGTCTTATTTACAATGCCATACAAACTTAAATTTACTTAAAATATTAAAAACTCGTAAGTCTGAAAACGGTTTTGTTAGAGGATTCATCTTTAAGCTTTTGTAGGGATTTTAATAAGATTTAAGAGGATTTTTCTGATTAATAACAAACTCGTGTGGTAATTCTATCACTAGATAGCGATGCTCGCCACCTAGCTCTCAACTTTTCATTATAAAATAGCGCTGATATAATACTTAATAATATCATGAAATCTCTTTAAAAAAACAACATTTCATTAATGTTCTTTGTTTGTAAAGAAAGTGTGAACATTCAATACAATCATGGATTGTAAAACATATTCATGAATCAACTGTTAAATCATAATTTCACCATCTATTCATCCACCCAATCACATTTAATTCAATAAACGATTAACTGTAATTGTGTCCAACTTTGATGCTTTAATCATTATATAAATTTATTTGACTAAATACGGAAAACATGTAAATAGAATGATATTTGTACTTGACAGGCAAAGTATTTGAGTAGTAATGAGTGAATCCCGAATTGTGAAAATATTTTAGACAGGCTACTAATAAAGTATATACAATTTACAATTTAAATATCACCAGTTACGTTCAATATCACTTTAAAGTGAATTCTATTGCTTATCCAGTTGCTACCTCGTTGAAGCAAAGACCACTAAAGTACTAGACGAGAGGCTAATGCACAGACCATTAAAATCTCATTTCGCTACGTACTCAGGTAGCTCCTAAAATTACAGAAATTCATTTCCTTTCAATTTTGAACAGCTATAATTCCTACTGAAGTTTCCTTGTTCGGATACGTTTTTAATTGGTTTTGGTGAACCCAATAGCAACACAAGGTTATTCGCCTTGTAATGTTAAAACTACACACTTATTGATCTTTATAAAATATACCTACAATATTACTGTGTTATTTTACCCAAGGGTTAACGGATAATTTTAACGAACATAACGATAAAGTATCAAAATATACCAGATTGTAAGTAAAAATTGTCAGTTCTTTCACAAAAACGATTACTGTTTCAAGATGCGTAAAAATGTAAAAGTTATCTGTGTTTTAAACCATAAATTGCACTAAGCTAAATACAAACCCGTGTCAATATATGTGAAAGTGATAATCAACAATTATTTGGGTCCAACAGTTTTAAATGTACTTTTAATCATGCCAAGTGTTAAAATCATCATGTAAATTTACATTTTCTCCGTCAAATATTCATTATTTGCCAGCATCCCTAAAACAACGAGGAGCCTAAGGGTTATAAACTAGCAGACTTTACACAAGAGCTTCTATAAACTCAAGACTTGCAGAACGGTTTTTTACAGCCCTCGTAGTAAGAGGCTATAAATCACTACTCCCTTAGAACGCCTCCTTCTCTTATATCACCATACTACAAACGCTAGGGAATCATTTTAAACGTATAAGATTGTAAACACATTCATGGATGCAACAAATAACGATCAGTTTATTGTTGGATTCATGATCAATTATCTACTTAGGTTATTTCTCATAGAACTTAAAATTCCTTAGGTTATGTTTGAAGGAGAATGCAAAATAGCTCGTCGAATATGAGAATAATAGGTAAAGGTTTATCAGTGGGTAAATATTTTTATCAGTTGAATTTGTGAAGTCAAACTAACAACACGCATTCACATAATTCTTGTATCAAAGGAGCCAATTGACATTTTAAGTCACAATTTGACTAATTCGTTTGATATCATAAAAACAAGATCTTTAATTAAATCTTAACTTATTTCAAAGAGAAAATCACCTAACCCATGACATTTTCATTAAAATCCCAACAACAATATAAATCATTCATGTGAGTTTTGCTCAGTAACCAGGAAAACAATCATGTACACATGTAAAGTCCAACAATGTGCAAGACGTAGACTAATACGCACAAGTCAGCTGGTCATCAACAATCAGCTGCTAGTTCATCTAATCAGCTGATTCAAGGTAATTTAAACCGTCAGACCTTGCTGACTAACCTAGCCCTATCCATCTAATGAACTAGGGTCAAAAGCTAACTGCGGAAGTTGTTAAGTACCTACTGTTAATTATGTTTGAACTCCTTATTGGTTTGGTATAGTACGTTTAGGGAAGGACAATGAATGAGATATTTCAGGACGTCGTGTCGGTAACATCTTAGGTATTAAGACAAGTCTTAAAACGTACAAACTATTAATAGTCAAGCTTATGTTCAACAGTACACTTACAGATATGAAAATAGTCCTGAAAATAGGCGTTTACTTGACAAGTGTGGTCGTTTACGTGCGAGACGAAGTCGAGTACGGAATTACCATACGAGTCCTTTAAACACATTTTGGACGAGTGATGTACGATATTTTACACCATACTACTCTAAGCTAACTTAACAACAACAAATCTGTACAAACCCTAATATATTCCCACTGGCTGAAGGAATTACAATTTTAATTGAGGTTATGTTTATGTTTATAACCAATCATTTCGAAATACAATCAGCTGGTTGGTGTCCGGTAAAAACTCATTTCAGTACAGTAGTACGTAATGAAACCCCATTTGATAAAGCTTGGTGGCAAACGGCTGTTTTCTGGACTCAATCCTTGAGTGGGGAATTCGTTAAAACAGTGTAGTGTGGCGTAAAAGCTAATATAGTTTACGGAACTGTTTTTTGAGCTTGGCTTACTTAAAAGTGCTTAAAAGTATTCGATAAATAAATTGACAATAATCAGTAATTGACGTAAACGAACTTTATAGGGAATCAACCAGCATCCATTTTTATTGGAAAACAGCCAAAACAGGCAAGAAAAATTACCTATAGGCCAATAAATGGCCTATTAATAATAATTAAAGATTTGAAATAAGAATTTAAAAGACCATAAAAGTAAGGGCTCAGTTTATTTAGAACGTAAATTATTTCAAACCATTACTTCTAGTGAATATGTTAACAAGTTTCATTGACTCATCGTATTTTCAATACCGAACAGTCTATCTCAGACCTACCAGGT